GCGGGGGGTCCCGGCCCGAGCAGCGCAAGCTGCCCCGGAGTTACAGTGATGCTGCCCTGGAGCCGCCCAAGGAGTTACAGTGATGCTGCCCCGGGGAAAGCTGTGTCACGAGCCCGGTACGAACCTGGCCCGGCCTAGAACCGGCCGCTGGTAAATCGGTACATCGGTAAATCACCATTTACCAGTGCCCCACAGCCGGCGTGCTCGCGGGCTCTGCCTCCGCAGGCACCCGCCGTGCCAGCGCTGAGATGGGTTTCCATCCCCGGGAAATGGATTCGCACCGAAAGCTTTCCAGGCTTTGCCCTGCAGGACCGTCCCTGAACAAACTTTTCACAATCTGCAAAGTACTTGGATACTAAGAAAAAATTTCTCTAGAAAAAACTTCTCCCGAGTTGCTGACATCTACTGCTGGTTTCTTCAGACTTCTGAAAGTACAAATGATCTTCCAAAGTACGTTTAAGTCACCGTGTAGAGAGGAGCAGTGTGAAGTCAGGTGGCAAAGTTAGCCCAAGGATTCAAATGACATCTGATTGAAATGCAATCTATTTAAAAGAAACAAACTTGTGCAATACTGTTTATGTGTTGCACAGGATGGTAAAGACTTTTTTTTTGTCCTGGACACAAAAGCCATTGTTGGTTTGCAGCTGTGCTGCTGTCTTTTTGAAATGCAGCACTCACTACCTTGAGACTCCCCGGCTCCATTCATTAGATTTGTCTTCCTGTATGGGAGGAGTAGTCTTTGGATTTTAGTTAAATCAGCACCGTGTAGAAAGCATACTAATTACTTAAAACTCAGTTCAAAGACTCATGGTTTTTACTATGCACATTTATTCCAACAAATAGATATGAGCGTATCAGTTGAGTCTGATCTTCTTGCCACTAAAATGTTGATTGGTGTTCAAGATGAAATTTTCTGGTCATAAAACAAATAATTTCTCAACTGTGATGCAGGTAGTCTGTTATGAGCTATAATTATTTCCCCAAAATATATATATATATATATATATTTATTTTTTTTTTTTTTTCAGAGTGACTTGTGCATAGGTCTGTCTGCCCTGGTGGTCCCTAAGTAGTACTTCGCATTGCCTGCTGGAATGGGACTGGCCCTGGGTGTCCCCCATTCCCTGTGATTTATTAGGGAAATGTTTATTGAGGCCGTAGTCATGGCTGTCTCCCACGTGAAAGCTGATGGGCAGTTTCTGGACCATCCTCCCAACCTTGCTCTGAGCTCTCACAGGAGCCTTTTCATGCCAAGGTGATATAAGAGGGCCCTGGGGCTTCTAGGGTCATATATAACATGTCTTACAGGAATGTCCCTCAGCTTTTAGGAAAACCTTTTTGTACTTCATACAATCCTGATCCCAAAGCACATCTCATGGCTGCTGTTCATATATTTTCTTGATATCTAGAATGTAAAATGAGAAATTAGTGGGATGACAATTATAAATCCTGTTCCTAAACTGAACACAGTTCTTGTTTCATGAAATGCTGTCCCTAGTTTCGGGGTCTTAGTTATGTCTTGTACTCCAGTTTTTCATCTCTGCACCAAAGTGAGCCCCATGATAAAACTGCTTTGCCCCCTGAAGATGCCATTTCGCATTTGGGGTGAATGGACATAAAAGCTGAATTTGTGTGGAGGGGTGTCCTGCTCATTCCCCTTCATTTCCTCCTTTGCCTGACATGCTGGGTTGAATCAACAAGAGCATCACCAGCAAGCAAAAATGAAGAAGTAATTGGCCCTCTCTCTCTATTTATCACTTGTCAGGGCATACCTGGAATACTCTGCTTAGGTTTGTCCTACTTGTCTCACTTGGTACTTTCTGAAAGTTACTGTGGAACAGCTCCATAGACTCATGGGCCCTGGAGACACAATACAGAGGAGGAGATTCCATCTCCAGAGCTTGCTGAAAGTACATGAAGGACAGGCCCTGACACAACTCTGGCTGTACCATGATTTAATATGATTTTTTTCCTCTGAGGCTGTAGCTCTAATACTCAATGGGATGGAAGGGTGGAATGGAAGATGGAATGGAAGAAGTCTATGAGGCTATGGAAGAGAACTGGATTTGCCCTTCTCTCCACACTTTGAGTGTCCCTTTGTTACAGGGCTCGCAAGGGTTGCAGGATGAAGAGAGAGGAGAGAATGTTGACCTCATGTTCAGAAGGCTTGATTTATTATTTTATGATATATATTACATTATGACTATACTAAAAAGAAATAGAAGGAAAAGTTCTCAGAAGCTAGCTAAGCTAAGAATAGAAAAGAATGAATAACAAAGGAGCTGTGTCCCAGCAGAAGGCAAGAGCAGCTCACTGCTGTGAGTGGTCAGCAAATCCAAACATCCACCCAAGACCAATCACGGATCCACCTGTTGCATTCCAGCATTCCACAGCAGCATTTGTTGCTGAGGCCGCAGCTTCTCAGAAGGGAGAAAAATCCTAGAGAAAGGATTTTTCACAAAAGATGTCTGTGACATCCCTTCCCATGGAAAGGAAGGGGTTACATTTTCAAATTAAGCCTTGAACTCTGAAAACTTCTGCAAGTCCCCTGTGAAGAACCCAACACCAAGTATCTAATACATAATGCCCCATATTATATGGGCCCTTTTTCCCCACCTGGCCTATCCTAATTGATACCTATACAATCCACGTGTGCATCAGGGATTGCCATTTCCAGCAGCTTTATGAATGAATGTAATAGGAGACCACTGTGTGGTTTTCAGGGATGAATTTTATAGGTGTAGCTTCCTGGCTTTTGATGTGATTTTCTTTACTTTCAAGTCTCCTGCCAAAAAGATTTAGACTTTTTCCCCCCCTCATATAATTTCTCTACATAGTAACACACAAATCTTTCATTGCTTGACTACATTAGCCTGTAACAAAAATAATTCAGTCACTGGTGATCCTCTTTATATAAAATACTTTCCATGTGGTAGCCCAATAACATGGTGCCTCTTAGTAGCTTTTGGGGTTTTTTCTGACAGAAAAAAACACAGTGATTTTATAGTTTGTTCAGCTACACTATGTCTAAAAAAATGTGAAGTTTGTGTAATCCATACCTTTATTTTGTCATATTAATAAATGTTAAATGTTAATTGACTGTCCTGTAATTCAGCATTTTGGAGCTTTAACTTTGATGGTTTGTCATTTTATTTGAATTATCAAAACGTAACAGTTGGTGGGTGGTGAAAGAATCAAAAAAGTAGGGATTAAACCAGGTAGGATCTGGACCTATCATGCACTTGTTATGGGTTCATAGTTGCTACTTCTCAGCTTTTGCTAGTTTGCTGCTGCTGCCTTTAGAGATTCCTGTATGGAAAATGGCAGCAGATTTCTGTTTTACTTGGATCCCAGGTTCTGTCCTCGTTTGTTCCCCCTGAGCTGGCATGCTCAGGAACAAAGCAGAAACCTCAGCCTAGTGGGGAACACACACTTGGTGGGACTTTACGGAATCAATAGGAGGATCTTTGTGGTCACATCACAAAGACATTTGGTCCTGAATTCTCAGATTACACTTCTGCTACCATGAGTTCAGGTTCTCTCTGTGTCTTGATATTTGGAGTAGGTGTTGGTGTAAGACTCTAACACTTCTTATGCTGTAAATATGAATTACTCAATCTCTATTTAGGAATCACAAAGGACTGATGAAATTGAAATATAAATACTTCAGCTAAAACATTTATATTAAGCATAGATAGAATAAAAAATAACTCAGAGCATTAAGGACTGCAATATTGCTATAATAGCAATCATAACTATATCCCTTTTCTTTTTTAGTGAAGTTCCATTTATACTGCCAAGTAGTTTCAGATCAAGTTATTTTATAGATTTTTCATGGAGTGGAATAAATAGAGAAATAAAAGCAAACCATTCATTTTTTTCTCATGAATAATTTTATAAGCTTTAATAGACTATTTTGAAAGAGTAAGATGTCATGAATGGGATTTCTGAATTGGAATTCCTGAATAGAATCATGATTATGAAATCAATTGAGCTTATTTTTTGTTTTGGTTTGCTGAGTATTGCTTCAGGATATCTTGAGAAAAAAAGTCATGTTCAAAGTTGAAATTCTTAAAATTATTTAACTACGATCTGAGGGTTTAGGAAAACTATCAAATACTCAGAGATTTATGAGACCTAGTAATATTGCTTCACTGAGATTATGCATGTGAGGAAAAAGTGGCAGACTAGATTGTTAAAGGCAGAGCACCAGGATTAACAAACCTTTGTTACCAGGAAAATTTAGTTGTAACCTCAACCTACTTTTTAGCTGACACTATAAAATACTCTCAGACGTGGTGTGTTTACATTCCTTTGATATTTGATAACATTTTTCAGATTTTTACCATGGTTAAACCCAGCCCTGTGGTTCATGGGGCAAAGCTTGCTGTCCTTTGTGTAGCAGAGAGTAGGAATGAATTGACAGGATCAGCCTGGGTCCCAGATATCCCTAATAAGGGCTCAGTAGGTATCTAACCAAGTTTTGGTTTCTGTGAGGGAATCCTTATTTCTGCTCAAAAGTAACTGCAAGCATAAAAGCTCACTGTTTAGGAAATGCTTTGTATTGTATTATGTTTAAATAATTAAAAATCACACACTCAAGATGGTGGGTGGTCTAACACAGCATGAACAAGAGCCTATAAAAATTATACAATTGGGCTGGAGATCACTTTTCTAAACATATAAGTAAGAGGTTTCACATGTTGGTTTTATACTCCACAGCCTGGAGTTCCAAGCAAGATTATAAATTTATTTGGCAGAAGCAACTGAGCCAAAGGATATTTGTGCCTGTTTGATGACTGGTTCAGGAGAATATGAAGAACTCAGCAAAAGCTGATGAAGTTTATTTTGGCAGCTAAGACAAAAGTCATTAAATGAAAGGAAGGCAACATGGAACTAATGAAAAATCTGATGGCATCATAGATGAATATATGCATGGAAATGTCTGCTCAAGGTTTTCTTTGCTGTCATTTGGTTCTCTGGCATGGATATTCATCACTGGTTCAGTTGTGTCTGCTTTTGAAGGACATCTTAAAGTTTCAGCTAAAATCCACAAGTCCATTTCACATGGTCCATGAACTTAAGCATGTTGAACAGTCAGTCGCTTCCAAAGTGTAATTCTGATTTGAACTAGAAGGTGGATGTAGAAACACCACCTGTGTCTGTATTGTGGACAGTACCAGTATTATAACAAATAAATACTGGTTTTTTAAAGAAAAATCATTCCAAAAGGACTCAAGGTTTTTATCTGTCTGCACTT